TGACATTTTTCACATCGTCTAAATTATTTTATGTATTGGCTTTTAATTAATTTTTTTATTACTGTTAAGTCAGTCTATTTAATAAAATATTATAATTATATATCAACATTTATTTTCTAAGTTTATTTAATATGTTTATCAGTCTATAATATGTAAGGTTATACCTAAATTGACTAATCATAGCTATCGGAGGCGATTCCAGTACAAGAGAGTCACTACTTTTTAGACTCCTTTTTTTCGGGAGGCAATCCAAGTAACCTTTAAAAAAAAAATTCGAGGGAGGCAATTCGAGGGTCAGATATTCCAAATTATGCAATAAAATGAATATCTCATACCTCTGTTGAAGAAAAATTAACTTTCAAAAACAAGGGCATGGCTATTAAATCTAAAGCTCTCGACTAGTGATGATCAAAACAAGACCAAGACCAAGACTAAAAATTAATGTTATACTTAAACATAATACATTCATCTATCTATATCCATTTTATTGTTATAACAGCGATACCGACGTATTTCTAGGACAACTGAATTATATAAACTGAAGGTCACAGGCCGTGACATCACGAATCCCTGTTTTACTCACGGACAATTTTATGTTTTTTCCTCCCATGTCAGCTCGTCAAAAAACCTATATGTGTATGCGCCTTACCAAAGAACAAAATATATTGTTTACAAAGAAGAGTATTGTAATCTTAATGGAAATATGTGCAGAGATATAATAAGAGATTAAAGTAAATCGTAGTTTTTTCAACTTCATTTTTTTTTTATAAAATAGTCGAATACCTCTGGGGCAAAGCCGGGCAATTCAGCTAGTCATAAGTATAATTTCAAAACTTTTAATTACATTAATTAAAATAGTTTAAATTTGGTATTAACAATGAAAAAAAATCTTTAGGCTATGATAATCTTATTATTAGCTGTTGAAACCTCTAGCAACTCAAAAAATATAAAGATTAACAATTTTAAAATTATCAAGATGATAAATATTATATTTTTAATATTATTATGCTAATTTGTTAATTTTGAATTTATTGTTATATCTAGCCACGCGCTTTTAGGAAGTATACAATTTTACCATAAGCAATCTCAACGCTTTCTAAATTAATTTTTACTTTTACCTAATACAGTTGTAACTATCTTAAAATAGCCAATAGGCACTATTAGCCATTAGGTATTATTATCATTATTATATAATTGATTGTATTTAAGAACATATTTTATATATTCATTTTACATATTATATAACAAGATACAAAATATATTCCATTAGTATTATTATAATTTATACCTATAGAGTATAGCCAGTATAGGTATAGGTGTTATTTAATTGCAGGTTTGTACTGTCCAGCCGTTTAGGTGTTATTTTCCATAAATAATAAATAGAAAATATACAACTCAAAAAACGCATAAGATTATACGAAATTTGTTTTTTTTCTTTATAATATAAATTAAACATGTGGTACTTATCTGAAGTATCATCTTCTGAAATAATAATTATGACATGCACGTGTAGTATGCAAGGACATCACGAAAAATAGCGCGTGTCAGTCGCTATTATCAAAAGAAGGGGATGGTATTTTATATTTATTATTATTACATGCATCATATATATATAATATAGTGAAACAAGTATAATAATACTGTGGGCAAGTGGCAATTATCACTATGACATCCTTGTCCGAATACCCTGTTCAGTGCACGTGTAATATAATATGTAAAATGTATATATTTTTAGTGTATATAATATATATATATATATGTGTATATATATATGTATTATGTATATACTATATATTGTTTGGCCGTTTTCGGTGTTATTATTTTAACAATGTTTTGGGAAAGGTGGGAATAAACAGTTACAAAAAATGGTGGATGAATACTTATGTATGTATATATATATAGGAGGGGACAACACCAAAAGGTAGTAATTATATTTATTTTTATATATTGTTAGGGAAAATGTAGAATTGCGACCGATGGTTATCTTGTGTGAAGGGGGTATAGGTAATAAGTTACGATCACGATATAGATATTGAATTACCCAGGTTATCTAAACAACCTACATTCGTGACCAATTTGACATCACTTTAACCCTATATGTATATTATATTATATTTCTCCACGAATTAAAATTTTTTTTGTACTCATAAAAATGTTTAATGTTTGAGAAAAAGATTAATATTTTGTAAAAAAATCTTCATTTTACATTAATTATTTATCTATATTTATAAAAGTGTATTATATTATATCCTAGTTACCTGCAGTTAGTTTAAACTATAAGCACGAAAAACAATTTAATAAGTAAATAATAAACTAATAAGTAATAGGTAAGTAATAAGTAATACGAAGGTATCTGAACTATTATATACTGTACAGTTTACAATTTTACATAAGTAAAGACAATTCAGATCGTTTAAATATTTCTAATCATATAATTTAAATTCTTTTTCACTTAGTTAAAATATTCAACAATCGGTTGTTTTATTAGGATGATGTAGTTTATTTGTTTTATTTCCATTTTTTGCTCTTTCATTGCCATTAGGTGTATATGTTACAGTTAAAATGTTGAATTCCGTTTTCCGTATTTCATGAAGTAACTAGGTAGTTCATGAAATACCTATACGAATGTTAGTTAAAGTATGAAATAATACATGAAAATTGTACTTTAACTAGTTATTTCATAGAATATCTAGTTATTCTATACAATTTCAGTTTGATATCCGTTAAAGTATAAAATACATTAAAATTTAAAGTATATATTAAAATATTTTATTTTACTGAATTAATTATAGTTATATTATTTATTTATTTGTTCATATTGTAAGGATATTATGGCATTTAGAGTCACACAATATCTTTTTTTTCTACAAACACATCGCTTTGTGCCACAAGTTTTGGTACAAGTTCACTTAAAAAAACCCTGACCAGTTCCCAGTGACTGCTCAGTTGCCGCAGATCTTAATGTAATACTTTTATTTGGAACAACTTCTACAGCTAACAAATTTTCTGTACATACTATGAACTGGGATCGAGAGTATAGTTGTAATAACACTCTTGTAATTATAATGTGTAGGTAGGTATCGAATAAATAAAAAATAAAAAATAAAAGGTTAGGTAAATCTTATCTGATTTTGTTATATTAAATTGATGAAAATGTTAGAACTATATTTATTTATCATGATATTTTGTTATTTACAATTTGACACATTAATGCAGTGATACCAGGGAATGTATAAAATAACTAGTTAAAGTATAAATTATATACATTACCTACAAGTTTTAGTTATTTTATAAATTACCTATAGTTATTTCATAAACGAACTGATTCGACACTTTAACTGTAACATATACATTTTATTCATATCTTTAAAAATTTTATTTAATATCACCATTTTTTCTCAAAGTAGTTTTTGAACTATCTAAAATCGAAAACAGAATAATTTACACCTATACATACAATGTGATTTTTTAAGCATGCTCACCATATTTTTATGCTTAAATTATGCATACATTCAAATTCTAATTAAAGGAATTTTTAAATACGTTTGAAAACCATATTTTAGAATACTTGAGTATTTTTGTACCATTTATGGATGATTTCTGTTTTTTAAATAGGAACCCCCCCCCCCTTTGCCACTTTTAATTATACATCAGATATTTTTTTGACAATTTTGATGTATCTAAATCGAAAATTCATTGAGTAGTTTTTGAGTTATAAATAACTTTATGTATTGAGGATAAATGTATATGCAGTAAGTACTTAGGTTGCAATCGGGAGGGGGGCTTTCCCCTATAAAAGTCCAAAAGTTATTGTGAAGGGGCAAAGTCCTTACGATGTAGATTCATTTGAAAAATAGGAGCTCCCCCAATATTTTTAATGAATTTCCCCTTATGGGTAAGTAGCTATGGGGACTTATGTAATTTTAAAACGTTGGTATATTTAGGTATATTATTATTGCATAATATTCAATTATTTATACATTGTAGGTACTAAACTTATCTATCTCAAATAACATTTTAAATAGTATACATATGGTGTCATGGCGATGTCGATGCGTCAATTGAAAGTTGAAACTTTATAGATACCTAAGGGCTAAAACATACATACATAGTGTTCTAACCAATAGCTTATTGGCAATAAGTTACAAAAACTTAGGTAGTGACGATTGACTTAACATTTTAAAATAAATTGTTGTAAAAGTTTTGCATAACACATCGGATGCTCTGGCCATTATAGTTAGACATTAATTTAAAATTAGTTCACAGTGTTATGTTTACATTGTAATATTGTGTGGCTTAAATAGTTAAATTAAGCTGTATAATTGTATTTCTTTTATAAAATATTAACCTTACGATTTTTATTTCCTTTAGAATTCCCAACACCGAGTAAGTATACGTATAATCCAAATAATAATTACTTTTATAGATTTTACCTAAGTAAACATCTTATTGTATAAAAATGAGTTTTATTTATTGTATAAAATATCTAAAAAAATGTTTGGATGTTTTGGATTGTTTAAACTTTGTTGTCTATTTGTTTAGATATGGTTTGCGTTATATTTCATCAATGTAGATATATGCAGTGTGTATCACCTACATTTAACATTTTATTAATCATGTTATTCAAATGAATCGGCAACAAACAATCAATTTTTTTATTTAATCGTTCTTATCTATATAGGTATTTAGTTATTATATTGTGGAAAACATTTTTCTATGCTGGTACCTATTTGGTATAGGTATATTTTTATTGAACAGTGAACACTTTAAATCATTACCTGTGTCCTATATTATATTATACAAAGTTATTTTTTTACTATTCTTAATGCGGGAACTGCGAAGGCCATAAATGCAATAAACCAGGACCGGGATGTTTTCGTTTAAGGGGCGCCAGGAATTGTACGGTGGTCGTCAAGGTGACGCGTGCCAAGTGTTTAGACACGGATTGGCCGCTCGTGTACCCCCCTTTTGGTAGGCGGGGTCTGGGCTGGCGCTACCGTATCCGTGTAACCATCGAAAGCATCGTGAACGTTCAGGCAGCTGTTATCCTTTACGGTTCACGATCAGTCGCTGCCACGCATAGATTAACAAAGTATCTGAGTATTGCAGTACCCGCACATCCAATCTCATATTTCCATACGACTATTATAAGTACCTACATAACCAGGTAAGTGAATACTGGATACATATTATATTATTACCTATACACTTATAATTCATGGTACAAAAATCAATCATATTCAATCAAAGGTATAAAAAATAATCACATCCAAAAATAAGCTTAAAATAAGTGAATGTACGAGTACTGCGGTAGTTATTTGTTCAATTTTTAGATTTCAAGAAACAACTACCTATATTATAATATCTTAATCAAAAGTTAAAACCATTCATTAATTTAATACTCAATTAATATATAGATAGACACCTACACACAATTATAGATGTATGAACTGATATTGTAACATATTTGCTAAGATATTTTCAAATTTTCAAATTATTTAGAATAATATAATATAAGTACGATAAGTACCAATGTAAAATTTAATTTTCCAATGAAAAATATATATTTTAATTTGTGTTCATTTTAATTATACTGTAATACGGTAGTGGTACACTGGTATAATCTACATAATAGATTGAAATACTGAATAACTTTATAAATTATAATATGTAAACGAAATAAATTAATAAATAATAATTTATAAGCTCTTACTAGTTATTTATATGAAATTTCAAATTAATCATTTACTATAAAATTAAAAAGTATTGCAATTTGTATTTAAATACGCACACCAAAACTATACCTATATGTGTATACTGTATATGTATGTATTATACAATAATATGCGGTGGGCAAATTACAGCTGCATGGCATCTTATCAAAAAAAACAAAATATTTTTACTAAAAATAAATAAATATATATTACACATTTTATTACATTTGATATTTATTCTAGAATAATACCAATTGGGTCAATTTGTGAAATATATTTTTGTATTTTACGGTAGTTGATAATCTTTTTCTCGCTCTCATATTTTTACTTTTTATTGTGCTGTCTTCAAATCTCTTCTCGTTGGCCGCTGGCCACGCCGTGTTTAACTGTATCATAGTTAATTAAATTAAATTGAAGTTTATTATTATAGATATTGTGTATATGTAGTATATATTTTTCTTAAACAAAAAACCACTATTAAAAATATTATTTATTTTAAATCAAACATTTATTACACACATTTTACGTATTTTCTAAATATTAAAATATTTCGTTAGTTTGTTTTTAAAAAAAATAAGATAAGCTAAAAAATACAATTCAAATTCCTATTTAATTATTCAATGCATAAATACATTTGTTAATTTTTCAATTATGACGTTTTATTAAACCACATATTAGGAGCCACCCACTGACAACACTCCTAGAGTTTTAAATAAAAATAATTATAGTTTTTGAGTAGGTCACGACACTAGTTTTTTTCAACCTCTTTGAGATTGCCAGAAATTGGTTGAGATAAATTTTTTGGTATGATGTTTAGGTGCAGGGACGGATCCAAGGGGGGAATTGGGCCCAGTCCCCCCAGACATATTATTTCTTTAATTTTTTAATAATTCTACAGATCCTAATATTACTATATTTCAAACTGCATGTATGTCTGATAATATAATATATTATTATTCGTATTATTCTGGGGTGCACAAACTAAGATAGTTAGTACTATCTTAGTTCATGGTGGACAGTGATTCCAATATTGTAATTTTACATTAACAAAAAATTCCCCCCCCCTCCAGATCTTTGTTCTAGATTCATGCCTGTTTATGTGGTAATTTTGAAGACTAGTCTTCTATCTAAGATTTTATTGCTTTATTGTATCCAAAAGTTTTCATTTTGAAGTCTGCGCGTATAAGGTTTGATTTGTGACATAAAATATGATGCATATTTTGTTATAAACTTATAATTTATTAACATACAGGTCTCGAGAGTGCTCAAGGTGACGCTTATATATATGTACATAACAGCATGAAGATATTTTCAAAATTTAATTTACAAATATTTATGATTTAAGAATAATGAACAAATATTCCCATACAGCTTAATGAAATTAGATAATAGGTACCTGTATACAAATAAACAAATTATTTAAAAATAATTAAATTATAAACAGTGATCGAAATGGCTCAAGATAAGTGGAGGGATGCCTTACAATTCAGATTTAGTCTTACACGAAAAATAAAAAGTTTTCTTATACATAGGTATAAATATAAAAATCATAATAATTATTTCATTTTAAAACATAAGTCTTAGGAGGAATGCGTTATTTTAGACAAAATAAGTAGAGGGATGTCATCCCTCCGTATCCCCCCCCCTCACTTCGACCACTGATTATAAATTATATAACTACGTAGTTTGGTTTGAATATTGAAGTCTAATGGTCTAAATGATGGTGAAATCTAAATAATTAGAGATCGGTGGTTTAAAAACGATGTACAAATTGTTTTTATTATTTTATTTATAGTTAATAATAACAAGTATTAGATTTTTTGAATAATATAAAATGTAAAGGAACCTTTCTGTTATTTTTTTAATAAATTTTAGTTTTGGATTAATACACAATTTGAACATTTTAAATAGTTTAGTTTAGTTTGGGCTTGATTAAAAAATTGTGCTATTTTGTGAGCTATCATATAAGGTGGACATTTGCTTTTGTCTGGTAAAATAAGTCCAATTGGTGGGCCAGATATTTGTAAAATAACATAACTTTTCTAATTTTGAAGAAATATAATATTGTGCAAACATTAGAAAACTATTGTCAGTCACTTTAATACCTAATTAATATTTATGTCCTTTTTTAGTTCAAATATATTATAGACGCTGACTCTAAAGAAATTCTAAAATCAAAACGATTACTCTTAAAGTTATCCATGATTTCAAAAACCTTTATAATATAAACTATAACCTCTTTAAAAATTTCCGATTTTTCAATTACTTTTATAGCAATTATGTTTCATATTGTAATTTAATTTGTTCAACACCTCTAGAAAAATAATGACAATATGTCAATATGTACCAATTATTCAAAATATAAATCGATAGATTATTACTATAATTTTCAAATCACTATATTCCCTAATCCCTATATATATTTATGTATATCTTTCAAACCGTTGTTATCATGAAACTATTTTAGGCCTCTAAGAGGTACTTTATTAGAAAAAAGAAAATTAGATACACTTTGGTTTAGTATTCATGACTGCATGAAGCATAGTAATGATAGTTTGTGAAATCAAATAATATATTGGTGTGAATATTATATACGAAAGTACAAACAGTAATATAGATGTTGGAGGGGTGAATGGAGAAGGAGGTGGTGGGTGCTGGATGAAGATAGAAGAAGAGAGGTATGGCAACGGCCAACGGGATGCATTATAATAATAATATGAAGCATAAGGCGTTATAACCGTGTCGATAAACCGGCGGTACAGGGCAAAACCAATTATTAAAGTCACCGAACGACGACGACGTTCGCGGCTTCAAAACGACGATAAGTACACACGCACACATATACATTACGCACGGGTCCTTTTGTGAGAGACACCGCCACCGTTTACATATTATTATTGTAAACAATTCATCCGTGCGAACGGGACTACGAGGGTCGCGCACGCGCGTTTAACACGGGATTACGGACGACGATGATAACAATATAACAACACGGCGGCGGCAGTAGCATTATTATTATTATTATTACTATTATTATTACATTTATTATGCGTGTGCGTTCTTGTGTGTGGTTGAGCGTGTGTGCCACCACCGAGGTGATCTCGTCGAAATCGACGAGCAGCGACCGATGTGATAAAGGCGCCTCTCTCGGGAGACTTGCCGCGCGTCGCCCGAGGACGTCAATGATACGGTCCGGGGCACATCGCATCCCACGCAGCACTCTGGTCCGCACGCCCGCTGCCGTTGAATTCGCCCAGGTCAACCGGACCGTGGCCGCCGCCACTGCGGACGCACTCGCGCGTTGTTCACGCGTACTTACGCCGCCGACCGAAATGTGTTAGTATATATGTATGAATGTATAAGATTTGTCAGCAGATATATTAATAATTGTCATCATATAATATATTGTATATATTGTAGAGCATGTGAGTCGTGTGACATATTTATGTCCGCTCCGACAAAAAGACCTGCAATGTGATATTATATTTATATACGCGTTTATATAGGTCCACGGGGAATCGATTTCGATTTTAATGGTTATTAAACTCGGATCGTTTCCCTACTACGCGCAGTACAATTTTGTTTAATATATGAACTATATGCGCATACAACCGGGCGTACTTATTGACTAAAAATATATTTTTGTGTCGAACTATATATGTATACTATTGATACTATAATAAATAATAATATATCGTACCTATACATACGAGTCGTAGATGCTTGAATTGAGGGGTACGTGGGGAAACGGAATATTTTTCTTTTTAAAAAATATTTACGCCTACCCATATAATAGCTTATCATATCCAAATTTCAAATCATTAAGATTTCAGATTTCATATGTAGATACGCACATTTTCTTTTATAATTTTTCTACGATTTTGAGTCCTTCTAATTTTTTCCCAGGTTTAAGCACTGTGGCTATACAACCTACTATATATTAAATATTAACAAAGCACATTATACACGTATATCGTATAATATAATGTCGTATCTATATTATATAGTGCGTAATTGAACTTTTAATGAAATTTAAACCATTATTTTACATCTTGCTGGTGTAATTTTTTTTTAAATCTACACCACCTGTATATGTAATTTATATGATGGTCATCGGAAAATATCACCTGTACCAAACTATAATTTACAACAAAATAATATAGGTATATAATATTAATATATGTAGCCATTTAGGTATACAAATAATGAAATAAAATGGGTACTTGTTTTCATTACTTGGATTATGGATCTCAATAGTACCTATAGGTATTAACTATAAACCATACATAGTTTGAAATTGAGGTTTGAGGGAAAAGTGTTACATACTTGCATGTGCAGTAATGCAATTTGTAAATATAATGTGTAGTTTATTAATGTTAATAATTATCAACTTAATTATGTTATAAATTTGTTATGGGTAATATAATTATTTTACACATAACAATAGTTACTATACTATTTTGGTAGAATAATAAAATCATTCAATACCATTTTTAATTTTCTGATAAAAATTTCACAAAAAGTTACCCATATAGTGTAAGTTGAAAAAAAAATTACAACGAGCGTAAAATAATGATATCCATATCTCTCCGGAATGGATTTTTATTTGTATATTACATGAGCCTAAAAAGGACTGACACAGATACACGTTATGATTGAAATTTGGGAAATTAATATGTATTTAATGAAAAGTTTGATTAGGTACGATAGGTAAATGCGATATATAATCTATATTATACACAAGTATTGTGGTTTTTAATATTTTACAAGAATTATTTATCAAAACTTAATTAGTACTTAGTATATTTACAATTAATAATGATTAATGATCCTTTTTTTTAGACGAGTTATTGGAATACTTTAAATGAAGATATGTTTAAATAAAACATTCAACACAAGTCACGTCAACAACTAAAAGAAGTGCTTGAACATAATATCATATTGGTACACTTCCAGTACGTCATTAGTCATTACCTATAGAACATTATGCCACATACTGGTAAGGATTATAGCTTCGTATAGTCATGTATCATAATGTATATATGAAGTAAAATTGTAATTTAATGTTACAATGTGATGTCTAATGAAATAGACAAACTATAATTATCATTATGACATATTGACATCTGGTTATTCGTTCAGTATCTAAATTTCATAATTTAAATTAAAGCTTTGTTAAAGCATAATGTTATATCCATACCTATATTAATAATTTAATTTGTAGTTGTACCCAAATTGACGGCTATTGTTGTATTTGTTAAACTCATAACAACTTTTTTAAATTTCCAGTAATGGCGTTTTCTTCTTAAATGTTATCGTTTATTCATTTATTTTTGTCAGTTTTATGTTTAGCCTTAATTTTTTTACAGCCTGCGTCCTGCAGTCATCTGCAGTCCACTTGCGGCATTAAATGTTAAAAGTATAATATAAATGCGGCACGTGCACCTGAATATTAAAGGCTGCACTAATAAGGCAAACATTCCTATAAATACTTACATACACAGATACACTCGTATAATTATTCAACATAATTATAATTGTATACTTGAAATGAACAAAAAATTGGTTACGTAACATCCATGTATAAAGTATAATACATTTCGTTCAGTTGTCTGCACATATAAATCAATTATGTGCAGATCGTCGTACACTTGTATACAATGTTTAGGTATACAGAACATTATTATGTCTAGCGCAGAACGTCCTGCAAAGAATTGAATGATGATAAATACCGGGAGCCAAGTCGGCACATCTGCTTGTTTCTACCTAGGTGTTAATGGGCGGTAGTTGTACAAAATTACAGGGTCGCGTCATTTTCACCAGTTTCGGATCCGTCTCAAACCGCCTGAAGGTCTTCCAATCGACCCAACTCAATGCACTATACTATATAATATGCACGCTATGTACCGAAATTATATTATATTTTTACCGCAGGATTTTTTTGATTCCTCACAAACGCTAAATAATAATGAGGACCGATGAGTGTCGTAATGTTTTTTTTATTTTTTCAACACGAATGTCTTGGGCACAAAATAGTACATCACCGCGTATATACCATGTCGTGTCGACGAGTGTTTATTATACTCTTGAATTCTGGGTAAATTTAACGCATTTAAAATTTCATCATAACTACCTCCTAGCAGTTCTACCCATACTGTGAAGATCGAAGTTATTTCATTTCAAACAAACAAACATTAACATTTTACTACAGGCTGTATCGTTATTTTCGATTTTTACATAGGAAATAGAAATTACCATAGAAATTAGCTTTTAGCTAGCTTTAAAAATATAGCTAATTAAACATATTTTTCACACTTATTATTATGATCATAGAGTACCTATATTATAATGCTTCAAATAATATATAACTTTAAGATAATCTATGCTAGCAACTTGTGGTGTATAATTATTAGATAAAAGTCTACGATTAATGATAATAACAACTGATTGTTGAAGCAATTTTATAATAATTGAGGTTTAGATATTATTCTAAAAAATTAAGACACTCAATTACATACGATATACCTAATAATTAACACTAAGAAATTATTTCATTACAGGCTAGTTATTTTCTATATCTTTTTAGTTTTTATCATATACAACATATTACATGATATATTCTTTGTACGACAAAAATAATGGATCACCCAAAGTGTCTAAACAATTATTATTTGACACTAACATGAATATAGTGGCGTAGCCAGGATTATGAAGTGGGTAGGGGGTTAAGTATTTATTAAACTAAGTTTTTTTTACAGTTTCGTATATAAATAATACATTAATTAAGGGGGAATGTCAAAGGGGGGTTTAGACACCCAAAAACTCCCCTGATTATGCCACTGCATAAATGTATCTGCAGGTAATACCCGAGGTGTACCATACTTGCTGTATATTAATAAATATTATGTATACGTTTATGTAGTAGATACATTTTGTCGTAAGCCACTTTTATTTTTTGATTATAGCTTGTTGTTTTTTAAAACTTCAATCATTGATAATTATTATGTTTTTATATCTGTGATTATTGCATTTCTTAAAACTCGTATACCTATATAGCCCATAAAATAGTACTTAAAAATTATAATTGATAATTTGATAATTATGTCATCTATATTGATTCACATTACAGGTCAAGCTGGCGTTAACCAATTAGGTGGTGTATTTGTCAACGGTCGCCCATTGCCCGACTACGTCAGGAGGCGTATAGTACAGCTAGCTCTGTTAGGTGTTCGCCCATGTGATATATCTCGACAACTTCTGGTTTCACATGGATGCGTGTCAAAAATCTTAACTAGATTTTACGAAACTGGCTCCATACGGCCGGGCTCTATCGGTGGTGCTGGATTACAAAAAAATAAGGTACACACACGTGTTAGGTGATGTAGTTTTGTATGCAATCGAATGTTGATGAAAAAAATCTTATATTTTAATTTGTAGCACCTAAATATTAGAATAAAACTTTTCAATAAACCAGATCAATTAGATATTTAAACAAAGAAGAACGATGTTAGCTATATCGTTGTAATGTGGCCTAGGGGGACTTATAAAACTATAAATTGTATTATCAGGTGTATCATTTTGGGTGCAAATAATAAATATACAACAGATAGGTTTTTTGTAATATCGAAATCAACCTAAATGTATTATTAATTATTATTATTGATTATGTCGTGTGCATATAATATCGTATTTTGAATGGCCGTTATATAATTATGGTATCATTCACTAACCATACGATCTACTGGGAATTTTCAGAGTTGGGGGCTAACTTTTGGACACAAACAACACGTCAGACGACGCGAACCCGCCTTAAATCAAAAATATAAACAGCATTTAATTTACTAACCACATGTACCTATTGCTAGGTACCATATTATTTACTGTATACCTATACGGCTATACCATTTATCAAAATATATCAATATATTTTTATTATTTAGACAACACAAGGACATTTTTCCAAAAAAAGTACCAGATGCTGCAAACAAGATGTATCAAACAGGATGGCCGGATCTCTAAATGCAACTCCTCCGATACGCAACCTACCTTGGATCCATCCTTTGGGTAAAAAACTTAATTATAAAAATTAAATTAATTAAATTAATACTCAAAGAATTACATTTAGTTTAATATTCTAAGAACGTTAACTAGTCACAATGTAAATTGATTTTTGTCTTATTTATGTTTTACTATTTATAACGCTTTTTGTTTCGTTTAAAAAAAAACACTTTAATATATGTTTAACGACCGCAAAATAGGTTATTACTTATTACAATAACATGTTTACATGTTATACATAAGGATAGAAGGTCATTTTTTTTTTACAAAAAATATTATTGTTCTTTAAAATAATTATCATTTTTTGAAATTGTCTTTTGGGAAATATGATAAAACTAACGTTTTAATAGTTTTAACATAATAATTTTCTTAATTTTTTTCAATTTTTCAATTTCACAGCTTATCTGGTTGTATGTTTTTTGATAACCCCTCTATCCTCCTGAGGCCTTATACCCTTAGTAGTATTACCATTTACCATACATTTTTAATATCATAGGTAATTCATAACATTTATTCTGGTTAAATGTAATTTTAGGACTCGGATAGGTATGTGTAAAAATTTGTTCCGAGCATATTCTACAAATGTAATGTCATATTTGGATTTATTATGACATATATCGCAAAATGTTGCAACTTAAGAAAAAAACATTACTAATAATTTTGAAAAAAATAAAACAAACATTTTAATTTATTAAATGCAAGAAAAGTTTATTTTAACTCTACACCTACATTTTTTAAGTTTTTTATTTACTATAAATTATAATATTTATATTATTTTTTAGGAAATTATAATTAGGTATATATTTACAATAATACTCTAACAAATAAACATTGCTGTAACTTATTTATATTAATTTAAAACCATAACATGGTTTTTATACGAGTACCTATAATCTATATTTTATCCCATATTTTCCACCATTTGGTGCATAATAGCATATAGTTTAAAGAGAATATATTTCATAATTTTTTAGGGAATGTCCATTGTCCATGCAATATGATGCATTAATATCAATAACTTTTTACATAGCAAACGGATATTAAAAAAAATTTAATTTATTTCTTAGACTTGGAAATAACATTTGATTCACTCAGTAGACAATTATTACTAAAAAAGTTAAAATAATTAGGCTTTGATGACAATCGATACATTAAAATGATTTTCTAATATCTAAGTACCAAACAACAACTTACCACTATTGGATCTCTTTGTAGTAATTAAGAGGATCGGTGGTGGACAGTTATTTTAGCTAAAACATACCAATATTTTGCCAATCATACTTATCGACCTAGTAATACGATAATACTTTTTAGAACTGATTTGAAATTTTTATTATGTCTACTTGAGACCAGTCGGTCTACTTTTCCCAATTTCACTCCCCCGACAACTATAAATTCAGTTTCAATATTTTGAAATGTTGGAATTATCAAAAGTTTATTATTCAGAATTTAATTCAGAAATCTTAAAATGTGGACCGACCGATCTCAAGTAGACATTATAACGAATTCGGATAAGTTTACTAAAATATTATAGCATTATTAGGTCGATCGGTGGATGGACAAAAAGTGCATACAAATGAGCATAAATTGTTTACCGTTCATTAGTGCAACACTGAGTAGATGACTTGTACATGCGCGTGCAGGAACGCTTCGCTTTTTATTTTACACACAGTCGTCAGTTACACACACTAATCATTACTTACTACCATACTCTATGCTTACAACACACAAATTTACAAGACCCACATGTCAGCAATTTGAAAATTGCCTATTTCAAACTCTATAAAAACTGTCCACCATCGATCCCCTTAAAGTTATGTCAAAGATAAAGTCGCTCAAGGTACATCATTAAACCCTATATTGTTTTTAATAATTTAATGTATATTAACTCTATACTCCTGCATCATTATATATTAAAAGGAAAATTATTCATATTCAAGGGTGTATAGCACTAGTTAATTTCAAATTTTCAAAAATTGAAACCAACTGTCTAAATTGATTTACTGTATATCTATAACTGGATAGCAAAAAATCTGTTATCACCTTACTTAAATAAATACGCTTGCATGCCAATATAGTTACTATTCGTTCATAGCTTCTTATTGGAACTTTACCTATATTACATAAACGTCGAACTGGAGCCTGTGACAAATTTCAGTTGTAAACCAATTAAAATAGTATTATCATTAGGTATTCAAATTTTAAATATTTAGGAGTGACAATAGATTTTAATCTGAAATGGCCAGAACACATTCAGCATTACAGATTATTGAAAATAAAATTAGGAGATCTACTGTATTGAGTGTACTATTCTACAAAATTCGATTTCTTGATAACTCAATTGTATGGCAAATATGAGTGGCGCTGTGTAATTAAATTCTATTATACCAGTGTTTCCCAATATTTTTACCATCACGGACCACCTATGACTGGCCCACGGACCACACTATATTATACGGAATGACATGTTGGAGAGGTATAAATAAAACAAGAGACAGTACATTACATATTATTACCCAAAAAATTATTATATAAAGGTAGCGTACTCCTTAATCCCTACCACCAAAATACCCATAAGAGAATTATTTACACACTTAATTGTTTAGAAATAATATGCAGATGAACAGAAAAATACAATTACATGGGGAAATCTATGTTTAACAATTAAAATACTAAAGTAAAGAGTCTAAAGAAAAGTTTACATGAAAGTCAATCTTAAAATACCTATGTTATAATTAATAAAATCAAATTTAAAAAGGCAATAAATAAAGCAATTAGTGAACTAGATGATTATGTGTGTAATACTAATAAAATTATAAAAAGTCAATACGCCTAAACATAATATATTATCCATATGTAGTGCATTTATTAATTTTTTCCTAAAACATATATCTACAACATTATATTTAATTAATTAAGTCTTATTTTTATTTGTATAAGTATTTTACTTTAAAATGAATTTTAATATCCATAAGGCATAAACTCATTACACCAAATACGAGCTTATAGCTCAGTTGGTAGACGTAGGTATATTATTAATGTAATTTATTGTAATTATTTAATTGTAATTGATTTGGCTGAAATAAAATAAATAAATTATAGACCTATAGTATTAAAATATAAATTTATATGTCAGTATTCCATTTATAGACATGTACTACGAACGAATCCACCAGCACATTCATGAAAACGGATCGGCGAGGGTCGCCGGCGGACCTTCAAACGGCCAACTAGCGCCGCCGGGCCCAAAGAAGCCGCACACGCCTTACACCATCGAAGAGATATTGAAACCCACGGCTCCGCGGCCGCGGCCACCATCGCCGTGTGGCCTACTCGTGGACGGAGTGTGCACGTGTGGCCTCACTGCAGGTAACGTTGTGTCAGCGGCGTTTTACGTCGACGTGCAGCAGCAGCAGCAACAATTTATATGCAGTCAGCCACTGCACCGTTTTTGAAACCACTCGTATACCTACCTACCTATCTACCTACCTATTTTGTTTATTTTTAAAGATTATTATTAATTTAATTGTAATATTATTGTGTCCGTGACGAAAAAAAATGTTTCAAAGTAATTTTAAGCTACCTATACACATAATTGTTATTGAATCGGTGTATAAAGGATTCAGGTACTATTTATTTGTGTGCAGTATGTTTGTAAATAAAGTATAAATTCATTTTGGCGCTATAGAAATCAAAGTGAATTCATCTTAGTATACATAGAAAAAAAACTACAACATAAAAAAAGTCTACTTGGTAAACATTAAAACCCAATGGTCAAATAAGTATACTATTAATTATTAAATTTTGGTACACTGTAGTCTATAATTGAGTATCTCTATTTTAGTATAGCCTACTATAGTATACTACATCATCGTTACTTGTTAACACTTTTTCATTTCAGAAATATCTTATAAACTATATGATATAGTATGGTATAATAACTGTATAATATGCTGTACGTCATATGTGCTATCAAATTACCAATAAGGGAGGGGGCAATGGCACTGTTGCAGTGGGCTAACTTGATACTTACACAAAGTACCTATCATATAAATACACACAATATCTCGAGATATCTAACTATTTTATGTTTGACTAATAATATATAAATTCAGATGGATAACGAGCTCATATATTATAGCTGTGGGTAATCTACATTTTTTGAAACTTGTTATTTTTTAATAATTTTTGAAATAGGTGCCCACTACATATACTTTCTCTTCTATATAATATAATATAATACATACAATAACTATTTAAGTGTGTATTCCACTAATAATAATATGAAAATATTTCTTTATTTTTAAGTTGAAAATTGAACCTATATACGATGGACTTACCAATAATATTTCTTTATGCGGCATCGGCAACGCAATATTACTATAAACCATAGAAGTGATCGATTTCGCCAATAAGAATAAATGTTGGTAAAAAAAAGAAACAACAAAAGTGACTAATTATTATTATATACCCGTGGTGCTGCGTTGCTTGATTGAAAACGATTAGCCCCGAAAAAGTTTTCAAAGGTTAAACCAGTCGAGCAGGAAGGGCGTTCAATTTTTTCGGTACACACGGAATTCAATTTGTCCCATACATATTAAATATTATTATTTTATTTGTGAACGTCTAAGTACAGCTTGTACACCCGTACACACATGCACACACACACACACACACACACACACACACACACCCACACACACACACACACCCACACACCGGCACAAAAGCGCAGCAACACGGAAAACTGGACGATTAAGCCGATTCGCCGACGCCGCAACCGACCTCGCCGACCCCTGCACCCACATGTAGTATGTACACACCGACGGCCAAGTTCACAGATTAATTACGACAGCAATCATGGGTCTCTCGGACTGTAAACACTGAGTGNCATACACACACACACACACACATAAATGATATCAAATATAAAAATGTATGCGTGCGTGTGCCCGTGCGGGGCATGCGTGCAATGTGTAATTGTCCTATGTAATCTATTATCGTCGGTCATCAAAGAGACCGGCCGGCCGACCGACCGTGTAATTTTCCAGTGTGATCCGACGTGCCGTATATAAAGGTATAATAATAATAATGATAATAATAATAATAATAATTGTGAGTTGCAATGATATGACGTGTCACGCAAACTATGCGTAGTGTGTACCTACCTATCTAATGTGTATCATTGATACAATGATGTACGTATCAGACGTTAGTACGTTACACCACGATTTTAGCAATAAGAATAGACTGAGTGGAAAAATAATTACTCTGGTATAAGTGATCCTCGAGTGCTTTATAACATTATTATGTAGGTGGTAAAAATGTAATGTAACCAAATACCAATAATATATCTGCATGCAAAAGAGAACGAAAATTTCACCTTGTTGTCATCGATTGATTGTAATTTTGAAAAAAATTTAATTCGTTCGCCTATATTTTTATATTTATTCGGAAATATTTGATTATGATTTTTGATTTCATTCTTACTTAATGTAGTATAGTATTACTTATTTACTTAGTTTTATCGAAATAACTAATACATAGTTATGACAGTCTATTATAATTTGGTGAAAATAATGTAAATGTGCTTTACTTACGACACCACAACTGAATTTAAAAAAAACATAAAATAACACGAAACATTGCAGAATTGAAGAAAGACTTAAAAAATATTATGAATATAACATGCAATACATCAAGGTCAGGCAATACAACTTTGCAAGTTCACTTTATAAGCCAAAGTTGCTTATAACAATTTAAGTAATTTAAATTTGAACTAAAAAAAGTGGTTATAATTCAAAAATTATTTAATTTTTCAAGTAAAAACTCCAAATGAAATTCAAAGTCATGCTTTCGAAATATTTGGTGTTACCTTTTTCGTTGAACCTACTGCTATTATAATATAATATATCTTACTAACCTAACCTTGTTATAATTTCTGAATGTTTTTCTTAAATACCTATATTATATAATTATGTAGCAGTGGCGTAGCCAGGGGGGAGGCTGAGGGGGCTGCAGCCCCCTCCGAAATGTTAATAAAATTAAAAAATTATTTTAACGGTCTATGGTATTCGATCAAAAACTAAACCACCGCTGTGTAAAAAATTGATCAGCCCCCCTCGAAAAAAAATCCTGGCTACGCCACTGTTATGTAGGTATACGTAATATGGGTATACAACTATACAAGCCTAACTCTCTAAGTCTCCAACACCTTACACCTTAGGACTTATTACAGGTATATGACAAACGCTGCTGTCTACAATGATTTAAAATTATACAAACATATAGTATACTAATGAACTTGCACAAAATCTCTATAAAAACTCCACTTAAAGTTATCGAATCACTCTGCAACTCTATCATTCACACAAAGAAGTCAGTGAGACTTAAAGTCCTCGAGCTTCAGCTCTCGAGATTATAAATGGGTGCGCAGGGGGGATAATTGGGGCACATATCCCATTATCTCTTCTTCGTAGACCTGCACGTGTCAAGCTTTACAGGAAAAACTCATGTATAGAGTGATCTGATTTCGATATTTTTTTTTTTGATGAGAAACACTTCTTATTACAGAGCGCATTGGACTTGAATTTTCAAAATTCGATTTCTAAACTTAATATGGTTTTGAATATGAGTATATGACCAATTTTCACAAGTTTTTGTTATTTTTATTATGTTTGTTTTATGCAAAGAAATATCACTCAGCCAAAGTCGGGTTGTACAGCTAAAAAGGTTGTTGGTTAATCCAAAGCTAATTGACTCGAAAACTATACTGGACCGTTTTTAATAAAAAATATATCAATCGATTCTTTAATATCTTATTTTTTCAACTTTTATGAGTAGTATTTCCATAAAGGGTATTTCGCATTTAATTTTTTTTCAGCTTATGAAAAAAGAAAATTTTTTTTGTTTATCTTACTAGTTACATATTATGTTATAATTTTCAATTATAATAATTAGAAGAAATATGGTATAAATATTTTTTTTGCAAATATGTTTATTAAAAATACAAACTTTTGGACCGGACAACGTCGGGCGGGACGGACAGCTGATATATTCTCATACATCGACGTAATGCTTGAGCAGTTCCAGCAGCGTCGTCGATGCCACAAAAAAAAGTTAGTAGGTTTATTATATAAATTATTTTTGACCTGCTCCCTATACTAAATTACTGCTCACGTTACTACAGTCGAGGCGTTTGCGGCCTGCCCAAAAATTAAACTGCGCGTAGCTTTTTAGGGATGAAAACAGTTATACATCTTTGTATACTATACAGAAAAGTTTTGAAAAATAGTTCAGTCAAATAAATACTAAGGCAACATATATAAGAGTTATTTTGTATATTTTAAGCCGGATAAAAAGAGGCTTCAGAATAACTTTGACCTATAAAGTTTTTTTTTATCTTAAAAATTAACTTACAAAAAGTGGGCCAAAGTTTTGATTTATGTATGTTGTATTTATCATATTTTTTTAACAATCTTCATTTTATTCTACAATGATCCATGTGACTTCGTTTGTTATTTTTTTTGTAATTCAGGTGTGGTGTCGTAAATGAAGCACGTTTAAATAATTGTCACCAAATTATTAATAGACTGTTAACAAATAAGATAAATACAAAATAAGAAAAACATTTTAGATGTCAAAATTGCTCAAAAAAATTAAAGTAATTCAAACTTGAACTCTAAAAGGGGTTTTACAATTTAAATAAATTGTTTTGTTGCACATGCAACTATGCAAGCATGGAAAATAAAAAAAAAACCAATAAAATTGTAGGTCGTGAGTCTGGAATATTTCGTGTTATTTTTATCGTGGTAATATTTTCATTAGCGTCCTGACACGTATTTTCACAATTTTTTTTATAAATGTCAAACTAAAATATTCATATTGTTAAAAAAAAATGCTTAGGGTAAATTAGCCATTATAATTGTTCAAATCTCAAATTTGTGTATTTTAGCTGTATACCTATACTATTTAACATATGGAATAACATATCATGAGCTTGCATACTTTCTATCGAGTACATTATACCTATTATAGGTACGGTACCTGAATAATTATATACTTGCATCTACCATCTACGTATATATAACAATAATATCACTGACAACCTTATTTCGGTGGCAAACCATTCATTTAATTCGTCCAACGACTACACAACGGTAAACATGATATAGTATATAATATCATCGGTGGTATTTTAATTGGGTGTGAGAGTGCATAACAACAATAAAGATAATAAGGGATGGACTGGCTGAACAACTGCCCCGCTCCGGGCTATATAAATGGGGTAGACGCTTAGAGGTATGTACTATTGAGAGAGAATATATATGTCTATATGCGAGAAACGCACACCTGATAATTTCGAGGTTCTGCAGTCTTTATTATATCTAATATAATATATGACATGTATATAGGTACTTATTCATATAATACGTACTTGAAGACTGGATGTAGCTGTAATATATAGGTACTGCAGCAGTGTCACTGTTACCGTCCACCAGTGGTTCATTTATATATAGGTTATAAAAACCGGTGGCACAGGGTTAACGAGATCGTCTCCCGACCTATTTACACCACTCACGTTATGTACTTAACTCGGGTACAATTATTACCTTTGGATGCTTAAAAAAAATATTAATAATTGCCGTAATAAAACACGGTGGCGGCGGCGACAATTCGGACACGGATTAATCCCTTGTACATAATTTTACCCCGTTTTTATTTAT